GTGAAAAATCCAGGGCCATGGGCTCCGGGTCAATACGGCTCCCGAGCCGGAGATAATCAACAGCCCGGCCCTGGGAGCTCTGGGAGCTGCCAACGGCTGAAGGGCAGATCAATACCGGCACGGGAAGGGCGCCGCATCCCGAAAATCCCGCGGAATTTGGGAACACAAAATTTACTGATGAGAGGAAATTTTACTGGCAAAACCCCTGCATCCAATAGATGGCATTATGGAATCCAACAGATTCCGTAATTTACCTGGAATTCACTGAATATTTTTCTCTCATGAATAATAATAATTAAAGCTGCACAGGACCTGCCCTAATTATCCCAGAAGTCTTCTCAGTGCCCTCCAGCTCTGTTTTCCAGTGGAGGCTTATTATGGAAAGTGAGGAAACCAATGAATATTCCCCACCACAGAGTGAACCATCCTGGAATTTTGGGGAAATAACCCCTGGGCTTTCAGATCAGCTCCAGGTTTTCCTGACTAATCCAGTGGCATCCCATCATTCCCAGTAGGACTCCACACCCCTTTAGTCCTTCATTAAACTATTGATCCCCCCGGCGTTATCCATAATATTCCAGCGGCTCGGCACTTCCCTGGATGCAGAGCTCGCTGCTTCCAGGAGCTCCCAGGTTTTATTTTCCGGGAAGGAATTCCCGGTGATTCCTTTACCTGGCACTTCCCGGTGCGGATGTCGTAGAGCGCCACGGATCCGTGCCGGGCTCCCACGGCGATCCGGTGACTCCGCTCGTAATAACTCACCATGTAGAACCTGCAGGGGACAGGGAAGCCACAGGAAAATCCATTTGGGATGCCACTGGATAACTAAGGAAGGGCTGGAGCAGGGATGTGATTTAGGAATCCGCCCGCTGCCGGTTTAATACCCGGCATTCCACAAAAACACCCGATTTTGATCCGTTACCATGGAATCCGACTGAACTCTCAGACTGATTTGTTTTCCATACAGAATGTTGGGAATAATCCATGGGATAACCACCAGCATGGCCATGTGTGATCCACACTTTGTAAGCTGGAAGTCAAATGGTTAAATGACAATCCAACCCTTCGGGGCATTTCCCGGGAGAGTCAAACAGGGAAAAGAAGGGAAGCGGAAAGAAAAATCTGCCAACTCATCAATTTTTGATGGGCATACAGAAAAAAAAAAAAAGGCATTCCCTAATCCAAGAATATCCATTTTACAGGGAAATTTTCCTACACCAAAATCCGCAAGAAACCTCTGGAATTGATCCCTAAAAACATGTGCCAAACAACCAATCTCCCAGTGATTTATCTCCCCACTCCTCAGCATTCCCAGAGTGCCATAGCAACTGCTCGCTCCTCCGGCGTGGGATGGCAGAAAACCGGGATGGAACACGGGAAAAAAAAACATCAGGAATAAAAAGGAAGGGAGAAAATCCCTGGGTTTGGTGCAGGAAAAAGGGAAAAGCACTTCCATTTGGAATTTCTCCAGAGATTCCCCCCCGTTTGCTCCGACCTGATGGCAATTTTCCCTGGGCTCAACAATCCTGTCAGTGGGTGCTGGATCATTTTTATCCCGGCTATAAACAGGAAATATTACAGGTAATTGCCCAGATTTTTAAAAATACTGCAGAGCTATAAATATACAACAGGAATAGGGAGGGTTTTTGCACTAATTCCCACTTATCCCTGCTTTTATGCTTTAAGGAAAGCCTTTTAAAGCATCATCACCTCCATCAGAATCCAAGCTGGCAACAGGAGAACTGTTCTTTTCCTTGAAACTATTTAATATTTTAATAGCTGGTTAAATTAGAACGTAACAGCCGACGGGTGATTATTGGGATTTATTGGTTAAAGAGGAGAACTGGGATATTTATCCAAGTTTAAAGACACTGGAAATGTGCCCGTTTGATAAATCACGTTTGACTCTTGGTTGTTTGACGGGCTCAGTGTCACCTGAAGGACCATTTCACATCCTGCTGGTGGTCCCAGCGTTCCCGGCGGAAGAGCTCACCTGCAGATGGCCGGAAAACATTCCTGAAGGCCCTTCTTCTTCACTAAAGATCCTTCCAGGCAATACATGATGATGTCCATCACCTCGGAAACGACAATTCGAATCAGTTGGACAGTATTTCCCGTTTCATAATCAAAGCTGTGAAGCTTTAATTCCACCAGTTCCACCCCCTGCCACCTTTCAGCAGAGCAGGTCACTCCAGGCCCTGCCCAACCTTCCCCTGGTCGGGATTTACTCACCTCCACCAGCAGGTCCACGACGTCCGTGGGCATCTTGTCGATGAGGATCTCGATGACCCGCAGGATCTCGCCCTTGGCCCGGGCCAGGGTGGTGGTGTGGATGTTCTGCTGCGACTGCGTGTTGGCCGCCAGCGCCGTGTGCCGGTGCACCTGCCGACAGCGGGGACGCGCCGTCGGAACTGCCGCCACCGGGAAGGACCCTCCCGACCCGAGCCACGCCTGGCCCACGCCAAACCCCATGGAACAGCCTCCACTCCATTAGAATTCCT